GTAAAGTTTTTTTGAGTTAGATTATTCTGTGATTTAATAAACATGAATATTTATTTATTAATTTTTTTTTATTTATTAGCAGAATTTAGTGGACAATAGTACTATGCATGTGCTCTGGGTGAGCAAAAGTTAAGAGATTATTTCTGGGTTATATATAAAACAACAGGCATTCAAATTGGAACACACAATATATCAAATCACTCTGGACAAAAAACTACAGTGCAACTATTAAAGGAGCTTGGATACTCCGATTCTGTTGTAATGTCGATTACAAAGCACAAGTTCTAATAAGAACTTGCAGCATATGAATGCCCAAAATCAATAATGCAACATGAAGGTTTAAATGGATTTTTCAATGCATTAAAACAGGTTTCAAAAGGTAAAATTTATTTATCATACTTCATTTATTATTATTTTTGAATGTTTGGCTAATTCTTTTTTTATATAAGCCCCAGGTAATTATGATAATCAAGACATCCAAGATTCTCCCAGTGATCATGATGCTCAAGACGTTCAAGATGCTCCTAGTGACAATGATGCTCACAATGCCCCCCAGTGATCATAAAGATCAACAAAAAATGACACCAGTGTCAAGTGACTTCACTCTTGCAAGTTCTTATCAATAATGAAATGTCTCCCAGGCATCATTGATAAATGCATTCAATAATTTTGAAGCATTTCCTAATGTATCAAGTAGTCTTTTGGCTGAGCCTGATCAGAATGTTCTTGACAATCAAAAAGAGAAAGTTAATGGTGAGAAAAATGACAATAAAAAAGAGATTATTAAGGATGGCAAAAAAAATTAAGAATTTCTTGAAAAATTTCTTTCAGGAAATACGTTTCATAATTGTACTTTTAATTTTTAAAATTAAATGTATTTCGATTGAAATTTTATAATTTTAATAAAATTTGTGTTTTGATTGCTTTTTTTAATTGGGTTATTTTTTAATTAATAAGAATTTCGGGTCAGAATATTGATTTTGAGCCAAATAAAATTGATCTGAGAATTGTGCAAATTTTGAATATTTGGAAATATATCATAAACAGTTAAAAAATAATAGTCAGTTGCTGTGCTAAGATCATAAGAGTTTTGTAGAATAAAATGGCTTTATTCATTATAATTTGTTTAATTATTTTATTAGAGATAATATATATATGAGATATGATAATTTTAATAAGTATTAAGTAAAAGTTTATTATAAATAAAGATATTATTGCCTCAAAAGATATTAGTTTCTTATTTGCTTCACTAATAACTAAGTCTTAAGTTTATTAAATACATTGCTTATAGCATCATATAAGAAGATTATCATACTAATATATTCATTTAAAACTCTAAAATTAAAAAAGTGTTATTTGTTAAGTCAATTGTTATATAATCTAGCATTGCTAAACAAAGAGCATAGCTTTAATTACCTACTAGCCAAAAACTAACACATCTTTTTTATAAGTTTTTCATTATCAGTTATGCAAATTTTTGAATTGTAAAGCAACTAAGTTACTGTTTTCTTAATCAGCACATTTTGGTAGTGACTGTGAGATCCAAAAAATAAAATAACAATATTTGCTACCCTTTCTGCACTATTTCAAAAAAAAAATAAATTAGTATAAACAGACTTAAATAAAAAGAAACTTACTCAAATCCAAGTTCAAAAAGTTATATTAACCTATACTAAAAGGATTTTTTGCACCATTTAGTTTAGCTACAATAAATACTACCTAGCTTAAAAAACTAATAGAAAGTATAACCAAGTTTTTTAAAGATGTAGCTAAGGACATTGTTAAAAAAAATGAGTCTGGGTCTGAAGAAACAAATCATATAAAAGTTAGAAGTTTTAGTAGAAATAACAATAATGACCTAATAGAATAGTTTGCCAATTTTGAAAGAGTCACAAAAGCCAAGCCAACAACTGGTCAGATGAAAAAAAATTAAAAATAGCATCCAGATACTTGAAAGAAATAGCTGCAGAATAGTACAAAAATAATAAAGCAAATATTATTGGCTAGAAAGACAAGAGTATTCTTGATCATAGTTTCTACTACTTGTTGATTACTTACTTAACTATTTCAGAAAAACAATACAAGTAGCAAATTTAGTTGAATAGCCTTGCCCAACTTGAAAATAAAAAGGCATCTGTCTATGCTACCAAGTTTAAAAAGCTACTAAATTGAGTAAACCTAGAAGATTTATTACCTGCCCAATATATTGTACAATGATTTTAAGTAGATTAAAAGAAAAAATAGCAACTTTTGTAACAGTTATCTCAGAGAATCTTAATGAAGTAATTGTAGTAGTTAGAAAGGTAGAAGTAGGCAAATACTATAGTGCTTATATATTTGAAGCTCCAGTAATTTCTGACAAGAAAAATAAAATAATTGAAGCATTAATCAAGCAAGTGTAGAAATTATTAGTTAACTACACTATAGTAAATAACCAAAAAAAAAAGAATATATATAAGAAAGAAAAATATAGAAAAAATCTCAAGCCGAGAAAAGAAATCATTTGTTATAAGTGTGGCAATAAAAAATATATTGCCAAAACTTGTATGTTGGAAAAGAAACTTAAGAAGCCCAGTGAAGCAAAAAGAACATAAGCAAATAATATTAGAAAGATAAACTATTGTAAAAATAAACTGTATATAGTAAACAAAAAAAAGTAGCAAATACAACTAGACAGTCCTGAGAAAAGATCCAAATTGTAACTAAAACTAAATTAGATAATAAACTTTGGCCTAAGGTAGCAAATGAACTGCTTTTAGTAGACTTTGGAGATTAATTATAGCCTATGAAGTTAAAAAAGTCACAAACAGTTAAAAAAATAAGATGAAAATATGAGCCTTTGGTGATAGACAAGTTAACCTCATATAATATAATAGATGATATATTATCTCTACTAATTAAAGCCACAATAGGGCAAATGCTGCTATACCTGAACCAAAGAAGAAATCTAGTACAAATTTTACATTAGCTTTTTGTAGTCTGGAAATCCTAAGAAACCCAAATGACTCAAAGAGTCCAGATAATTTATATAGTAAACTTTAGTGATAACCTCAGAATCACTGCTGTCTATATTATATTAGAATTAAAGAAAATCCTATACAAGCTGTGCTAGACTCAGACATAGCTATAAGCATAATTACAAAAAAGCTTATAGACAAATTAAAGCTAAAAATAGATAAACTATCATCAATAGTAGTGACTATAGCTACTGGGACCAGGGCACATGTGTTGGGTTAAATTGAAAATATAAAAATAGCTATTCAAGATATACTTCTATCTAGTACTTTTCAAATAATTGCATCTGTAGATGAGACGTTGCTACTTGGTAATGATTAGTTCTATAGAGCACAGGCGTGGATCCACTTTGATAAATAAAGATTGCTTCTTAAGCATAATAGCAGAAGAATCAAGGTATCTATTTCTAATAATAGAGCAAAAAAATTAGAATTACAAGAATAAAAAGATCAATCTGATAGTGATAGTAAAAATAAGTTTAGCAAGTACATCTATAAAAATGAAGAATTAGTTAAAGCAGCGAGTTATTATATAAAAAAAACTAGTAAAGAAGACAATGAGTTGTTTTACAACTCTTGGAAAAAAGTAATGAGCCTGGCAATCTACTTGATGAATATAAAAGAAGTACTAACCAAAAAATACAGAGACAAAACCCACTATAGAAGAACAAATAAAAAAGTTCTTACAAAACCCCATCTTGGATAAAGAAAAGAAGAAAAAGACAGAAGCCTTTTTTCAAAAAGAAAAAAGCTTGTTTACTAGTAATATGCAAGAGCTCAGAGAAACTACTATAATAATATGCTGAATTGAAACTAGCAGAGCCAAACTGATAAAGCAAAGAGCCTACAGAGTGGTATTAAATGAATGTGTGCTTATAAAAAAGAAATTAAAAGAGATAGAAGAAAGAGGCTTAATTCGAAAGTCTAGTAGCCCATGGGCTTTATCTATAGTCATGGTCTTAAAAAAAGGTGGTAAATTATATCTCTGTATAGATTATAAAAAACTAAATAAAGTTACAAGGCAGAATATATGCTCACTACTAAGAATAAATGATCTATTAGAGATTTTTAGCAATGCAAGTTGGTTCTCTAATTTAGATTTAAAAAGTGGGTGGGTATTAGCAGATAAGAGTTGAAGAGAAAGATAAGAAGAAAACAGCTTTTATAATGCAGAGCAGACTTTACAAATTTAATATTATGCTATTTGGCTTAACAAACATGCTAGCTACCTTCTAGCACCTCATAGACTGTGTCTTGGAAGAGTATATTAGAGAATTTATAGTTATGTATATCAATGATATTAATATATGTTTGAGAATGTTTGACAAATATTTGAAGCATCTAAAGAAAGTATTTAATATATTGGCCAAGTATGGTTAAAAATCAATATTAAGAAATATGATTTTTTTAAACCTACTATTTATTTTCTCAGGTATATAATTAGAAAACAAGAAATACAACTTGATGAAAATAAAGTGAAAAAAGTAAAAAATTATCCTATATTAGATATATTATATTAATTAAGAGGTTTATTGGCCTAGCATCATATTATAAAATGTTCATATCTGGGTTTGCTATGTTAGCAAGACCTTTATCTTATTTGCTACAAAAAGATATTAGTTTTTGTTGAGAACAAGAGTAACAAAAAGTATTTGAGGTGTTAAAAAATTACCTGATAACAATATATATTCTTAAGTACTCAATATTGATGATATGTTTTACTTATACACTGATGTATTTAGCACTGGATTAGAGTTGTTTTGGCTCAGAAAGATAAAGACAAAAAGGAACATATAATTTTCTATACTAACCCAGTTTATCTAAGGCCAAAAGAAATAACTCAGTATATAAATTGGAATGTCTGTCTATTATTTGGGTGGTTAAATACTACTACTATTACTTTTGCTTTAAGCTATTTATGATTATAACAGACAATTCAATACTAAAGTAGTTGTATAGTATGAAGTTGAAGAGAAAAAAGGCATGATGGATACTCCAGTTGCAACTATATACCTATGCGATTTAACATAGATCAGAAAATACTTATCTGAATGCAAATGCATTATTATAGATAAATAGAATGGAAAAAGAAATTGCAGAAGTATATATGACAATAGTGAAAAATAAAAAATGCAAATTAAAAAGAAATAAAGAAGAAAATCAAGTAGATAAAAAATTGACTGATTCATCTAAACCAAAAAGAGAAGCTCAAGAAGAAGCTGTAGTAGATGAAAAAAAATTGAATGAGATAGATTTTATTATAATGAACTTGAGAGAAAAAGAATAGTTTCTATTAATAGGCAATTACTTATCTAGTGACTATGAAAATAATAATAGAATATAACCTAATCAATATGATAAATAGATAAGTGATGAGAATATTCAGAAAGATTATCAAGAGTTGCTAAAATAGCTAGTATTAGAATTAGGCTATTTACTAATCAGGAATGAGTATAATGCCAAGAAAGAGATATAGAAATCTAATAACAAATATGAAAAAGATCAACCAAGTCTGAAAGAAATATATAGCATAAAGCCTCCAAAGTGGTAAGAACTAAATAGAGAGTGAATTATGATGATGATAATAAATGTGATAATAAGAATGTTGAAACTTGGTAGCAACAAAAAAAAGAAGATTGTATAACCAACCAAGAGTGGTAAAGTAATTAGCATTATGATGATGAGAAATATGAAGTATTTGTAATTAAAGTGGATAATGATAATTTAAAAAAAGAAACCAATAAGTTAAAACCAGAAAATTACTTACCTGTTCTAGAACTTTTAATAATAGAGTCCCTAGTTTTAGATTTCTTACTAGTCTATTCTCTAATTTTGAAAGAAGTACAATGAGAAGATTTGTAATTGAAGAATATCAAAAGGAATTAGAATACTGAGAATTACATTAGAGTCAGATGATTAATTTGTACAGAAAAGAGATATTGTAATACAAGGTAAAACAAAGCAAAAGAAGATACAAAAAACACTAATCCAGAAACCAATAAAGAAAGAAACAATGAATTTTAATATAGCCATGATGATGAAGAGACTGTAATAACTCAAAAGAAAGAAGATAAATGCCATGAATTAAGTGAAAAAAAAGAAGTATTTATAATAAAAGTAAAAAATAAAGATAAACAAGAGAAAGATATCAAAGTGAAAGATATTTTTCTAGAAACTACTAAATGACTTTTAACAAAGTTAACTGCCAAATATAAACTTGAAGTGCGATACTGATATATTTCTAAAGAATAACTAGTAACTATCGCAGTGCTTTAAGTTTCTTTAACTGAACTAATTTTACAGAAAGATCTTCTATATATACTTCTATTTGATAGAACTTGAACACTTTGTTTTAAAAGTAATAAACTAAGGCAAGACATATATCTGATAGAGCAATTCAGATATCAACTTATTGCACATAATCCAAAGAACCTGCTAATTTTAAAAAAATAGATCATGGCAGGTGCCTAACAAAAGTTAGTACAAAGAGAATATTTAATAGCAACTGGAATCAACTTAGACTATATAAAACAAATAAATGTTGAAGCTATCAATACTTATAAGAATGACCAAGTGCATGACTACTAAAAGTTTATTATCTTGAAACCAATATCCCTTAGAACCAACTTAACACTTATAAAATTATAAAAAAAAATAAAAAATAAAAATAAAAAAAGAAAGAGAAAGAAGAGAAAAAGCATAATACTACAAATTATCTAAATCTGACAATAAATCTAATTTAGCCCAGGTAGTCAGTATCCTGTTAAAAGTTCAAAAAGGAAGAAGAAGACTATAATTGGCTAAAAAGATATTTGCAAGAAGAACATATAGAAAAAAACTAAATAAAAAGCAAAAAAAACAATTGATTAACTATAGCAAAACATTTATATTAAAAAATACTTTATTGTATAAGGTAAATAAGAAGAATTTTAACCAATTTTTAAAAATAGTATGAAAATATTAAATCAACTCCATTCTTTTTTTAATACATGATTACTCACTTGAAAGGCACTTTAGGGTTAAAATGATATTTAAAAAAATCTATAAGATATATTATTGGTTACAAGCATTCAAATATATTAAAAGATATGTTCAATTATGAAAAAGTTGCCAAAAAAAGAAGAAAAAATAATATAGCAGACTTTTATAACTGATACTAGTGATGATGCCATTCTATAAAATAAGAATAAACATTATTAGACCACTACTTATTATATCTCAAAACTCATATTACATAGTCATGGCAACTGTCTATATAACAAAATAGAGATACATGTTATTTCACTGACAATCACTTCACAGACAACTTAGTTTACCAACAATCAATTTACAGACAAGTTCATTTCACCAACAATTATTTCACTGACAGCTCATTTCACTGACAAGTATTTTTTATAAATTATACTAACCTTAGCTCTAATTCTAACATGACACTAACAACAATGACTAGAATTATTTTGTCAGCGAAATTTTGTCAGTAAAATAATTAGTGGTAAAATAAACTTGTTAGTTAATTAATTGTCAGTGAACTAAGCTGTTGGTAAAGTGATTGTCAGCAAAATGTGCACCACTCACAAAATAGCCAGAGGCCAAAGCTATTCTAACTGCAGATATCCAAAACTTAGCAGATTTTATCTTTAAAGATATCATTTGTAGGTACAGATATCTTGTAAAAATACTATCAGACTGTAATACTCACTTTAGAAATTAATTGTTGCTAACAAAGTTTAAGATAAAACACCTATTCTCAACTTTATATCATTTACAAACCAACAGGATAGTAGAATAATATAACAAAACCTTGTATAAATCTATTGCAAGATCAATAGATTATGTTAGTAACTGGGTCCTTTTTGTATCTACAGTATTGTTTGCATACTGTATCTTCAAACATGCAACTACCAAAATTACACCATTCTACTTAATGCATAGGAGAGAAGTCTGTCTATCAATCGAATTAAACAATCTATTAGAAGATACTATAATATAAAGAATATTTTAATTGTTAAAAGACTTACCAATAACACACAATAAGGCCATATTAGAAATTTGACAGGCATAGCAAAAACAAAAACAATGATATGACTAAACTGCTTGATTTTTACCCAATTTGTCTATTGGCAATAAAGTCTTGTTATATCATACTTCAAAAAAGTATAATAAAAGTATAAAGCTAGAACCAAAATAGAATGATCTGTTTTATGTCTATAAGATATTAAATTGAGACATTTATAAATTGAGAACTATAGAAGTCTTGGCAATATTGCTTAGCGTTGTATTGCTAAAAAAGTACTATGATTGATGTTTAAAAAATAAACAAAAAAAATGGCAAAAAAGATAGAAAAATTACTAAAGAAATAAAAGTTATAGCAAAAATTAATCTAAAGTCAAGAACAAAAAAAAAATAAAAAATATACAAAAATGCAGAGGAAAGAAAGTAAAAATTTGCAAATTATCAAAAAAATTACTCTTATATAACCAAAATGGCTAAAAGTTTGATCACATTAGATGAAATTATTAATGATATCACTTAATCCAAATCTAATAAAGTAATCCCAATATTGCTATCCTATAGTAACTCACATAATCTGGTAAACTGTATATCTTTAACATGTCCTCTGCTTACTCAAGCTATTTGGTTATGGGAAAGAATCAATATTTTGGTATACTCCTACTACTTGGTAATGATCTTTGCAAGAGCAACTCCAGCACAGAAAAGATTACTTTGTGAAATAGTTACATCCTGCTATTACACTATCACTTTTAAGATTTATAATATCTTTATCATTGTTGGGATAGTTCAAATCTACTACACAACAAGAGTAATCTATCAGGATATTAAAGTATTAAACACTGATAATATAAAGCAAGTAAATCTAAGAAGCTTGTAGAACTTGTCTTTAAGTAGAGAAGAAATGTAAAGCCCAGAAATCATAACTTGAAAGCTATTGTGCTAATGTATATTATTTCATTATAATAATCTCTTATCTAAAATGGAGTTGCTAATTGATATATTGAATATATTAAAGAAATTAAATAGATTCAAGACAATAAATAAATTAGTTATAATCAATATAATAGTTATGAGAGATATGATAGTTTTATTTATTATAATCTGTTTAATTATTTTATGAGAGATAATATATATATGAGAAATAATGATTTTAATAAATACTAAGTAAAAGTTTATTATAAATAAAGATATTACTGCCTCCAAAAGATATCAGTTTCTTATTTGCTTCACTAATAACTAAGTTCTAAGTTTATTAAATATATTGTTCATAATATTACATAAGAGTACTATTATACTAATATATCTTTTTAAAGCTCTAAAAGCAAAAAGGTTTTATTTGTTAAGTTAATTGTTATATAACTAGCATTGCTGAATAAAGTAGCTAAAGCTTTAATTACCCACTAGCCATACATCTTTTTTATAAAGTTACTAACTATTGGTTATATAAATTTTTGAATTGTAAAGCAACTAAGTTGCTATTTTCTTAGTTATCGCAATAACTCTAACCCTAAAACATAACTTAACTATAAAAAAAGCTAACAAAGAAGACCCAAAAAAAAAAATTAAAAATCATATATAAGATAGATTCATTATCTAATTTTATAATTTATCTGTAATAATATATATATAGTAAATAGTATTTTTGTTTGTAATATAGCTTTAATATTTGTTTTTATTAAGAATTTTTTTGAAAATTTGTATTAATTATAAGCACTAGAATTATTTGTCATAAAATTTTTTTTATGATATATATCAATTATTAGCTATATATTAATATATATTCTTAATACTATATATTAATTATAGTTATATAATAATATATATCATTATCAATTATTAATGATTATTATAAAATTTCATTAAATTTTATTAAACTTTGATATAAATTTTTCAATAACTAATAATTAAAATTAGATAAAATTTTTATTGTAAATAGTATCAATATATTTTTATAGTTATAGAAGTATATTGATACTATATATAGTAAAAATTTCAACTAATTTCAATTATTAGTTATTGAGAAAATTCATGTCAAGTTTGATAAAATTTAATAAAATTTTGCTATATATCATTATATATTACTAATATTTATATTTAGTAGGGGTAATATATATTAATAAAAATCTAGAGAATTATAATCGATATATATCACCAAAAAAAATTTTCTAACGTTGTATTGTATTCATAGAGAAATTTAACTTATGATATTCTCAAGCATCTTAATCAATTTGCTGAAACAGGTCTGAGAATAAATTTTAACTAATAAAAAAATA